AAGACCGGACTATTGACAACTCATTGTCCGTTAATTGAGTAGTATGGGGTTTAACATCAAACACACAATGGCCTTGATCTAAACAAGATATACCAGAATCGTTAACAATCACCAATGTAGAAAGAATATTCCAACCAAAATACCAGTATAACTTACGACTATGTTCGGTATTAACAATGCATTTATTTTCTTAAAAAAAGAGATGGTATATTCTAATTATAAGGCACTGGTAATTGGCAAAGAAAAAGCAGCTGATATGTTTTAAAAAAATAAGATTTCGTACACAAACAGTTACCGAGGTTATCAAATATGAAAACCACATTATAAACATTTTTTTTTCTTAAAAAAAATATACAATATTGCAACTTCTGGTTCACATCAAATAATAGTGAAACTGATTTCACAAATTCAAAATAGCTACCGTACCGTAACATAATTATCATTAATTAGGCTGTATCATCTTCAGGAATGAGAACAAAACAAATAAATACAGTAGGCCTATAGGCAACATTTCATTAATTGGCTCCACACTTCTTGGACCTAAGGCAACATTGCATATAAAATAACATAATATAGGCCTATAAAAAGTTGTACAATAGAATAAAAATCTAAAAAGTTATGAAAATCACCATATAGGCCTAGGCATTTTGAAACACCAAAAGAAATATTTAAATACCGTACAGCGGCAATAATAAACAATTACAAGATATAAATAGTATAGTAAATATGAGTAATATGTGAGCAACATCACATTTCAAAGAGGAAGAAAAAATAATATTTTGAGAAGTTGTTTAGGCTTATGGATAATTTGATGGCATATCTAGATCTATATCTACACACTGGTCATTTAAGTTTTTATTTTGTGTCCGCTTTTGTCAGTCCCTGCTCATTAAGATATAATTAGGCCTAAATTATATGTAAAGAGAATATATTAACTAATGTAAAACAAGAAGAACAATAAAAATGAAAGTTCTCAAGTACCCATCAAATTTTTATGTTATAATTTTTTTAATTTATGGTTACACTTGTTTATATTAATCTAAAAATAATGTTTGGCAGATGTGATTCAATTTGTATAGGCTATAGAGGCTTGTATGTAGATCCGACGAATGGCTGGTGTCTTGGCCCAAAAATTCTATATTTATTTATTGTCCATTCTGCTTTTATTACAACCTAATTTATATAATTTTATATTTAAAAAAAGGCCCATCAATTGTTTTCCATAGAAGGCCTATTGTTTTATTCGATATTTTGCTTTTCAATTTTCTGTATATTATAGGCTAGGCCTATATAGGCCTTTAGCATATATTAACAGAGGTAAAACCTTAACCGCTTTATATTATATTATACACTATCATGGCCGATTCCCCCTTTATTCTCTGTAAGTAATTAACTAGGCCTATAAATCAGCATTCTGCTTTCCATGAATTGATCAAATAAGGATTATATAAAATCTGTTTTTATATGCCATAATCTCAATTTATTATCTATTCAATTCTTGATAACCAATTTTATTCAGTTCTGTTTTACTCCCTGTAACAAAAAGTCTGATGATTGAAAGTCTATTTTTAGGCCTATTATAATATTTAGACACACTACTGGCTGTCTCTTATACACATCTAGATGTGTATAATGCAATACGGTAAGTATGCACATAATACGAAGCCTATAGCTTAAAGGCCGAACATAGTCGTATACTACATCATGTTGGCGACAGTTGTTTCTTTAAATTTGTTTGCTACCTCTTGACGCACCGCTGTTTTTTTATATTGTATCGAAATGAATAAAATAAAATAAATAAAGAGGTAAAACCTAAGCCTTATAGATTATATAGGTATTTATTGAATAATATCTGGGAACAGTTAAATTTAACTGTTCCCTGATAATATCAATGTATTAAAAAATCTAATAACAAATCACAACGATGTGTATAGACCTACATGCTCAATCTTTAATTTGCCAGTCCTCTATCTACTTTTACATTTTGTTTTAATGATGCTTTAAAATCGAAATGATATGATTCTCAAAAGTCATTGCCCATTAAATTCGTTATCTGAACATGGCCGCTAAAATGCTGCGAACCTTAAAATATTGAAAATTTACGGCTTCTAGATAGGATTGCTTTGTTACGCTACAAATTATTAAAAACAGAGATACCGGTATTAAATATCAGTGTTCTTCTTCTAACGAATCATGCCCTTCCGTATGACTTGATCATGGAAAATAATGGAGTTTTAAAAGAGATTGTTATTGACCCGGTACTGATTCTATCTTAATTTTCATAAAGGTTTCTTTTCTTCTGTTTATTTTATTTATTTTTTTTTTTAGTATTCCTGACTATAGGCCTATTTTAAGACCAAAGTATTTAATTGTCATTAAATACCAATTACTGGCACATATGCCAATGAGTGGGAATAACACATGGAAGCAAATCGAGTACCGGTATTCCCTATATCCTCTAAAATCTAATGTTAAACAATATAGGAATATCAACATTTACTAACAAATACTAAATATTCAAATATTACGGCATTCATAAATATTCTAACAAATTACAATTCCATCAGAGCAAGTTTAATAAAGTTTGAAAAGAATAATTTATTAATTAAAAAAACAAGGCACCTCATTTTAAATAACAGTTCCCGCGCATACACAAATTATCTCTATCTTCTCTAACCATGTTCCAATGATTGTTTTAAATTACTATGAATCAAATGTACTGCACAATGTGCCGGTACCGGTATGTACCGGTATTTTACAAATATAGGCCTATATACAGTAGAACCCCTATTAAGGGACACGTTTGGAACCAAAAAGGTGTCCCCTGGATATGGGTTCCTTAGTGTTAAATGATATGTTTTCCCTCCTTGTGGATGAAAAGGTGTCCTCTTAATAGGGATGTCCAAAAGAAGGGGTTCTGTATATACGGCCTATTATTAATTAATCAATTTTCTTACGGTAGTAGCCGTAGTATATAATTTGCCAGTACCATAGGTCCTGAAAATATGTCTAGAATATTAGTAAATAATTTAAATAGGCCTATATAACAATAATATAACAGGTCTAAGATACCGTAATGTTTCTAATTAATGAAATATTATCGCAATAATGTTAAGTTCTGTGATTTAAACTGTTACAGATCGCCTGTACGGGCCTAGCGGTAAAAACCCCAAATATTCATATTGAATTATGCCGCAATTTTAAAGATAAAAAGAAACCGACAATAACGTTGACCATCGTATTGTTAAGGTAACCCCTCCCATAAGCCGCATGCCTTGTGATCTCTCTTGATCCGTACCGTGTGGGCTCACCGAGCCGCTATTGTATTCTATTTACCGACGCCTTTGCAACGTCGACCCGCAAAAGTTTACTCCCAATATCCGCAAATAGGCATGTAATATAGACAGTTACTGTACATGCGAAATAACACTTTGGGTATTAAAAAAGTATAATATTATAATGTTGATAATGATGTTAATAATAAGTTATAGTCACAATTCACAACCAGAGACCTCGCAGCCAATCGCTATTATATCATCAGAAACCATCGCACTTTACAGTTATATAATAAATACCTATGTGAATAGTTTTATCTATAAAAAAAAAAAAAACAATTAAATTTTCGCTGACTGAACGTTGACTTGCAATCGAATAATATTGCATCATCTGTGAATATGCGTAAAATATAAACATTTAGGCTTACTATACATACTGAATACCACTTAAATATTATTAATGTTAATCGTGATTTAATAATAATAAGTTATAGTTTATGATTACAACGGAGATAACTAGTAGACAAAGATGAATGGGATTTATGAACACAGACGCTTTCACTTTTGATAATAAAAGTGGTTCTACCCTGAATTTTTAAATCTATAACTTCTTGACACACTACTGGGTGATTTCGCTACAATGTTTAGTTTTTCGCGCGGATAACGACAACGTATTGAAAAACTACATCACTTTCATTACACTGTTAGCCTCATCACTTAAAATATACCAACAGAGTTTGGACATCACGTTCTGATAAAATTGCTAAAAAGAATTTTAGGCCTAGTTTTACGCTTTGAATATGTATAATCTATACTGAACTTTTGGATAATGTAATGTGTTTTTCCGTTTCACCTAAGTTTATGTATAGGCCTACTCATTATCGGTGAAATATAACATGATATAAATAATAGGCCTATATATGAGAATTCTTTATAACTCTTTCAAAAACTCATGATTGTTCATATCTCTCTCTATTCCTCTTTCTGAAACTTCCACAGAGGAGTGCAATATTGCTCAGCCTCAGGCCTACATAGAGGATCTACGTAATTTCAAACGATAGAACACGTAAACGAAACCTTACATAATTATGATCGAAACAGCCTGGCAATATTAGAAAACAATTTAAACAGTTACCTCGAATCGCTCAAATCTAAATAAGATTTCACTGAAGTAAACACAATAATAAGTTAATCATCGATCGACTGTGATAAATATAAGTAAATATTTATATAATGCTATATTTAAATAAACACATTTGTGACTATTACACATTATCAGTAGGCCTATTAGACTAAAGGCTGGTTAGCATTTCATTCTGATAAATAGGCCTACAAGTAGTAGAATTAGAATAATAATAATAGGCCTATATTTTTTTTTTCTGGTTAGTTAAGCATTATAAATGTTTCTCCCGTATCACTATACACTTACTGTATATATTGGTAGACCATAGACTAGGTTGACGGTGATAAACATCGTTTATGTCTCGACGTTTTGATTAGTTAGGTCTAGTAATTATCAACAGGAAAATAATGATAAATATAATAATACTATCTGCCCAATCCATGTTGTTTCATAATGTATAGGCTTATGTGAATTATATTTATCTGGTTATATTAGAATGAGTATAATAAGTATCGTAATTTCGATTCATTCTTCCGTTTTATTACAGTAATTCATTAAGTCGTTTGATATAATTCCTACAATATTTAAGCACATTTGTTAAGTTAATCATCTATATTCTTTATTAAAAAATCAGATTCGTTGGGGGTAATTTCTTTATTTATTAACTTTAGAATTAATTTTCATACGCCCTCCCATCTTGTGGGCTTGGCGATTTCTATAGAAATGTGACAAAAAACACTGTACGCATATCATGTTCAACACATGACATTCTGTTGAAGAATATTGTGAAGGCCTACTTTCTGATTAATTAATGCAATCTATCTGTATACAATGTATTAACCACGCAAGTAGTCTTGTTAACGTAGGGATCAGTGATACATGTGCATAGGCTCCAGGCGAGGCATGCCGCGCGTCCTCCATCGGGTGGTTAGTCATAAAAGAGCTTTGTATTGTCACTGGGCACGCGACGACAATCAACCAATCAGCGCGCCGGATGCACTTTTCAAGTGACTTGCAGACAATAGGTGCAGGTATATAAAGTTGGCCCAACAAGAGCAATATAGCATATCGAATTCGATCATCACTGGTCATCGTTCTTACATGATTGATCTTGATCTTTTTCGAATAAAGCAGTTAAAACATGAAGTTCCATCCATCTTTTAGGTCAGATACCATGGATGGTCTGTGGAAAGAGTTCTCGATGCCAATCAAAAACGAACTTGAAGATGCAGCAGTTGTTCCAGCGTCTACTATTAAAAAGGCCAAGACAAGAGCACAGAAAGAGGATGCAAAAAAACTAAAGAAGAAAATTGAAAAGGTAATTATATTCAATATAAATAAAGTAAATTTTATATTTTTTCTTCAGTAACATCTTTTTATTCTTGCGTAGTATAGGGTGACCTATAGAGTACAAATATTGATGTTAACATTATTTTTAGCATTTTCTACAGTTTTTTTCTGATTTTCTAAATACTACTAAAAAAAGGAATATTAAATACAGAAATGCTTGTATTTAAATTTAGTTTTTTTTAAACCACAATATATGGTTAAGTACTTTATAGTGGCTAAGCATGCCTGTTTTTTTGTTGGCTTTTTACCACCAAGAAAAACAAATAATTTCGATGCACATTTTATATAGTCCTAACTAGGCCACTATTTATAATCATATTGATTATTTTGTATTTACCGTTGTAGCTTAGGGTTGAGAAAAAAAAAATTAAATCTAATTAAACATGACAAATATCCATTATTATTGAGACTTGGCCATCTTGGTTGAAATTGTTTTTTTAATGTAGAACAGGTAATAATCATACCAGACAATAATTATTTATTATTTCTATTTTTAGTTCGATATGTTCGAGGAATGGGTTGAGGGTGACATCACACTTCGATACAATCCTAAAGACCACGACGCAAAGAAACATTTGAGTGGTTGGGCAATGCGCAATACAAATAATCACAACAAGAAAGTTCTCAAGAAATCCTGCCTTGGTAAGTAACTTTTAACGTCAAACTACCATTATTATTACCTGTTGTGGCTAGCTCATACACGTGCCTGTTGAGTTAATCCATCGGCTTATCAGCCACGCGACCGGCGTAGGATATAATTTAGCCCACTCGTGCAGCTGTAAATAGCACTGAATGTGAGTACTCGAGTGGAACGATCTAATAGGTTGTATCGTATACAACTATCATCCTGTGTTTATCACAAGTGTAGGACTATGATCCTGTTATATAATTAACTAACACCGTTTACTCGTTGTGTTTGTTTACAGGCGTTTTTGTGTGCAGTAAAGGGCAATGCAGGAACCAATCCGGTGATATTGTGTCTGTTCGACCAGCCACCTCCGACAGAGCTAGAAGAAAGCAGTCAGAGAAATCTTGTCCCAGGCCTGGTTGCGGGGGAAAGCTGACGCACGTCTCTTGCACCGGCAAAGGAGGTTACCCAGTGACACATTTTTGGCGCGTTACTGGTAAGTTTAGCACCTTTTTATATTTCTCTCTGCAACTGTACGTAAATTCACTAGTTAAGGCCAATTCTTCATCTAAGTTCGATGACCACGCACATGACGCTATGCTTCTGATCGGGTTAAAATTGTCGCCATAGATTCGAGATATTTTAATATTGTTATAATTATGCTGATAATAATTAATATTTTTTTTTAATTAGTCATTGCTATTATTATTATGATTATTATCACGGTCCTATCATGCAGTACACATTTTTAAAACTATATTTAACGAAACGAGTACGTTTTTATACTGACGAGATAAGTTAGCTGGTTCATTGAAAATTGCTTCACAGTTTGAAGACATGAAAACATATTAAAATACTACAAATTATAATTTCACTATTTTGAATATAATATACATTTACAATAACTGTTCTTCCATTTCTCTTTTCACAGATTCGGTAATTATTTTCCAATCCAAGGGTGTCCACGATCACCCAAGACCAGATGTCGTCAAAACAACATCGATGGCTAAAATTGCTCTTCTCGAGTACCACCGAAGAAACCGACACGAACGGCCAAAGGAGATTTGTAAAAAAGTGGTAAGATATTGTGTTTCCCCTTATCCTTAATGCTTATAGTTATAATAAGTTAGGTGTTGTGATATATTTATTATATACAGTGTTTGTAATTATTTTATTATAGTATTACTATAGTAAAGAAGATACTTGTTACTTCCTTAAGCTGTTTATGTGCTAATTAATTAACCGTTAGGAAACTGATTATAATGGGTATCACTCAGTAGAATAGACACTCGCCGCCGTTCAATAAACAACTAGGCACTATGCATTAAACTAAACTTATTTCATGTCTCAGATTCTTTTCTATGAACTAATCTCAATGCTATCATTAAAAATAAAGTGTCTGTGGTGAAATCTGTAAAAACAATCTGAAAATTTAAATAAAAAGTATGAATTTGTCATTTAAATTTAACAATCACAGTACAGTAGTGGTATTATGTAATATTGTACAGTTAACTCCAACGGTCATGCATAATTTTATTTTATCCCTATGTAACGTTAATAATAATTTAATTATAAATATTTGTTTTTACATCTGTAATATCATGTAATTAACCGATCCTTTGTTTTCTTTTATAGGGTGTTCAGATACACAAATCATTTAGCCGAGTTGACCGCGTAGCCCGTCAGCTCCGTGAAGTGCAGGGAATTGTAGGCGAAGATCCCGACATGAAGAAGTCTCTTATCCCGGGTACTGGCGATGTCTCTTATGGCGTTCAACCAATGCGGGACAGCTGGGACCAAAGGATGAAGAATGAAAATTGTTTATCAGATGCCTTCCAACCACCACCACATTCCTACGGCAACTACTACACACACCATCAGCTTATGAGCGACAGTTGGTACGCACCTACACACTCTCAAGACGCATACCGTTTTCCAAACTACGGGGTTCCACACATGACCACCGCAAACATCGCCGAAGATACCTATCACCATGGTTACGTGGATGCTGCTGATAGTTGCTCTTATGATCCATTCCGTGAAGATGTTGGCTTCGAATCACACCCATCTGCCACCCTTCCTATTTCTCAAGCTTCGTCCAACGGATTTCCATCACGGGCTGGTGCTGAGTTTTGTTATTCTCCTATCAAACATGAAGTGGCAACTCTACCTGATACTGTACTTCACTCCGGTCATGACTTAGCATCACTGATGGTGTCGCCGAAAGAGCAGGAAGTGCCAAATACTGAGGCTAGACTTCACACATTTAACTCACCGACCGTCTCACGGGCATCCGTCGACCAACAGAACGTACCAGAACTAACTCCTGTCGTTTCTGGCCCTGCGACTAGCGTGATGCTGTCTTCTGGTGCTGACATCATATCAACAGCATTCCAACAAGCAGCTGAGCTACCTATGTCATCTTCACCATCTGATATGCCATGTTTGGGTACTTCAACTATGACCAACGTCAGTATGCCGCCAAAGAAACGTGGGCCTCCGGAACTGCTACCGATCGAACCAAAACGACGCAAGATCTCAGGTGAACAATCGACGGAGAAACCTAACCCAACGCCAGTGTCAATTAATCTTGATCTTCCATCTTTCTCCGATATATTTGACATAAGTGCTGCATTTGGAGAAGAGGGCCTAGCTGGTCGACCAAAGTCACCTGTGTATCATTCACCATCACCATCGGCTCCTGCTTCATCAGCTTCAGCAGTGAGCAGCACAGATAACGCTGTGCTGCCCTCAACAATCTCATATGCTGTGCCTAACTCGACAGCAGTCGGCAGTGCCTCAACCGTTACAGTATCGAGTGGACCCAGTAGCTGTCATAGTTATGATGGCTCACAACATTCCAGTTTTCATTCAAACAAGTCGTTAACGCAACTTAATACTCACCACCCAATCAGAGACGAAGAAAGTGGAACCTACATCGATCTATTGGTATCAATGTATCTTGGTGAGAAGGAACCTGATAAATCGATTAATAAGAACGAATTCCATGTATATACAGAGCGACACAACAACCATCTTAGAACCAACGATCACAGTCATTATGGTAGCTACGACCCTTTTAAGTCACCATTATCGAACACTCAGTTTGATTTCGCTTGGTACGAATCAGAACGAAAAGCTCAACGCTACCGACTCAGCAGCTCTGGACTTGATAGCTTGATAAGCCCACTAGGGCTAGGTGGTCATCCTTCATCTTACGAGTACAGCTCACCATTTACCTCTGATTTACATGGTGATTCTAGCCGACATACACCCGCTAGTTACAGCCGCCATCTTTATTAGGTCATTAATTTTTTATTTGCAATAATTAATTTGTTTGTGTATGTATATGATATAAATGTATTTACTTGTATATACGGGATGTACGCTATATTGCAATATCTTTATGTAGATTGTTTAGTCTATGGAAAAAATATGTGGTATTAAAAATTTTAATTATATCGATCCAGTTGTTATTTTCTAAAAATAACTGACACAATCCGAGTTTCAGATTAAGATGTTGTATTGTTTTAATTTTGTGACGTAATATTCTACGTGCGAACAACTCAAGTAAATGTTGGAAAGATACTTTCCATTTTGATAGAATTGTTATTCAAATGAAATAAATGAAAGGAAATACAAAATTGAAAACGTAGTCTGTGTTTTTGCTATACAGTGTTGGTTTTGAGTGAGGGTGTGTGTGCCATCGATTGTATTGACGCACGTCGTTGTTAATGACACAGACACTAAAGAGAGTGACGTCTGACTGCATTGTTGAACATCTTGGCATGTATTATCAACAGCATCATCATTACTGTAAAATACTGTTGTTATTACCATCATCATGCACTTTGTCATAATCACACTATTTTTGTTTCATCTGGGAGAAACCTCATTGCAGAATAAATCAGGAGTTGAAGAGGAAATTTTAGAAGATTAATCAGCGTATCATCATCAAACTTCATCAATATCATCATCGTTCTCATCATAATTTTCACCCTATACCTGTTGATAAATAACATCTATAATTTATACCACACGCAGGAAGGTATAAACAACACGTTTTCCAACAGAGATACACACAACACACTATGAACAATAAACAAAATAGATGAACTTCTGTATGGTTGAGATCCGTGTAGGTATAATGCACTATGACTATACACTTTTAAATTTACATCGTTCCTTAATAATTGTGAGTTAACACTAAAACATCAAATCAATAGAACAAGGTTTATTTAAAACAATATCGTAATCACAGAAAAGCTGAATTAGCACAATAATAACATCAAAAACTTACAGAAAAAACAGAATTTATAGCTAAAAGCAATTATATATAATCTAATAAAAATATGTAAGTCAAGCAAAACATTCAATTTATAGCCCAATATAAATAGCTAATAAACGACAAGTCGGAACAAGCTTACAATACATTTTTATTATTTTTCATTCATTAATTTGACCATGAACGAAATTTGGATTTGACTGTGCCATTTGGTGCGGACCTTAGGCCTAGTGAATTGACTCAGAAACAGTACGCTAAAAAAACGAACTAATACTTTTACATGAGTAAATATATACTAGGCCTATTACTAGTCCTAAGCACACTGGGAATTAGGGTGCCAACGTACTGATTATTTATTTGACATGTACCCATGATAATAAACCAATTAGAGAACAGTTAGTCAGATGACAGACAATAAGCCTTAGATAATCATGTAGATGATTGACACAGAACGGGTTTATAAGAGATAATCAATAATGAGAAAACAAAGTTTTATGGGTATGAAATTGACCGTGAAGAAGACAGTGATTATGACAATAAGTCTTAATGGTGGAGACAGTGTACACCAGTGATGGACACTGATTAGGCCAAGTGAATAAACTTAAGAATCGGTAATTGGGTTATAAGGATGGAAGTGTGAGCTGGGTTGAAATCTGAATCGAAATCGGAATGGCAAATGCCCATCGAGCGTAAAAAAACTGGTGACCGTTTCAAGTTCATTTTGATTGTTATATACTGAAACAAAAATAACATTAGATATTTAAATTTTATTTTTAAAAAACCCCGAAACTGGTAGATAAATACATTTTTAAAAATCTCTAATGTATGAGCGCATCATATATAAAACTAGATCACAAAATGCATCAAAATACATATGGAAAACAAACGACTACAGTTTAATCAAATGGAAAAATATTTCACTTAAATAATAAGATAATTATAAACTAGACTAAAAATTAACTCTTAAAAGTTTTGAAAAAGGTTTCATTCTTAAAAAGGACACATCTGAAATACTGTCTTGGCAATATCATCAGTTCAAATCAGTTCATGAGATTTAAAAAATACTGGGCTTTTCTTTTATAACTGTCGAATAGTATTTTAAATAACAGTATGCCTGGATATCATATAAATGGATTATTTAAGAATGGCATATAATTGCATATTATTAAACTATTCATAATACGGGTTAAATGATAATTATTTATAAAACGTAAAAACAATGTTTAATCCTTATTCTTTTATTAGTAATAGGCCTGCTACCAATCATTGCATCATCATTATCCTCGTCATTATCATTACACAAATTCCAACACACGAATATAATCATCATCATCATACTTACCATTTTGCATTATTATTATTACTATTATTATTATTATTATTATTATTATTATTATTATTATTATTATTATTATTATTATTATTATTAATAATAAGTTGTAACTATATTATTGTCATAAGCTTACAATAGGTAAAGCGGCCCTGAGTATAAAACATGATTAAATGTTGTTCGATTGTTGGTAATGTCTTTAAGAAATCAACATTTTCGTCTTAAAACTTCAAATTATTATTTCAGCATAAGCCTAGGTCTATTTAGTTATAGGCCTATTGAAATATATTTTTAATATACGTATAATTGTGTTTTTGTTTAGACATCCACAACGTTTTATTACTTTATATGAGTGGTCATTGATTGAATTAGTTGGAAGAGAGGGTCCTAACTAAACTAATTATAGAGATGGCTAAAACGTCACAAAAGCACGACTGAATAGCGCCTGGTGCTTCCTAGCACGGAGGGTAGCACCTCTAACCCGCTATATTACCGTTACTCTATTTTATAGCAAAGCATCCGTATTTGGTTCCAGGGCTATTAAATTATGTTGAGCACAAATAGCAAGGTTAGTTAAAAATACAAACGTTTCCACACAAGCATGAAAATAGGAAATTGCATAGTAATCTTCTTCATTGAATTTAATAGCAGTTTGAAAATAATTAACAAGTTTAGCAATAGTTTATTGGTTTACGCACGCATTAAAATACATTCTATATATCTTAGTTAACTATAAACATTTGGTACAATAATTTAAAAACCACGAGAAATACTTGTTGAAACAATAGAAAAGATTTAATTGTAGAAACGTACAAGAAGTGTACCAGGATGACGACGGGAAACAATCGTTGGACACGGTTGATTAGGCAGTAACACACAATCAAAAGTGCTCCACGGAAGTTAATCTTCCCCCTTTCACGAAAACATTGAGATAAAAGTTCACTTGACTCGCTATGATAAAACATAACGTAGCCACATGGTGGCGTCAGGTCTAACAGTTTTAGCATATTGGAATGACAATTTCCCCCTCAATTTCCGAATTAATAACAATCTGAATTCTCTCGGCCGTACACTGTTTTACAACACTTTATCTCTTGTGTCAATCATGTTCGTATCGGTGAGCTAGTCTTCTCATGAAGGAAATATTATTTCTACATGGTCTTCTTATTCGCGCCATGTTAGCCATAATAATAGTGGATCCCCTTCCAGTTCATTCTTTTCTGATAAACTATAGGTCTATTCGAAACAAAAGAAGCTCCTAGGACGTTGACCTCAGTCATAAACGTAATGACTAGTGTTATTTTTTAGCTTTCACGTCTCCCACTTTGTTTATTGCGAACAAAAATTAGTCTGGAAAAGACAGAATCTCAGAATATAATAGGCCTATATATATACTGTCTCTTATACACATCTAGATGTGTATAAGAGACAGGGCCTATATATATATCTATATATACCTCTGTCATTTATTTTCGTACTTGACTCACATGTTATATATATAGATATATATATATATAAACGTATATATATGTATGTATGTATATATGTATATAAATATATATATATATAAGCCTTTATATATATATACATAAATATGAACAAAACTATGGTAAGTAGTATTGGGCATAGCCCTTCAACGAAAAGAAATAATCAGTTGTTCTATTACATATTATTATTATATGAAAATACTCCAGAAATTCGCTATTCTGGCAGTGCTTCGATTAATATTACTACACTGCAATATCTGTTACAAAAATAATCGCGAAAATATTCTATTCGCCCCTGACAGTTTACAGAAGTTGAACCTAGTTCAACCTGCCCAAAGAGTTTTCTTTAAATCACCAACTAATGTCGGGGACATCTTGTAGACATGTTATGTGGACCGGCTTCGTGTAACCAACTCCATGGTGTAACAATAGGCGTATTTTTTCCTCACACGAAGTACCATTTGGTTAACCGTAAAATAAAATCATCAAACCTTATTCGCCAAAAATTGTCACTAATTACATATAAGAGGAGATTAATATTTAGAAAATTTGTAACTTTTTTTTACCTATGCATATAGAGCCAATAAATAAGAAATTAAACAAAGTTTATGTATCTGCCTCATAATAAAATATTTATTCAGGATTAGAATCTGGAACCTTATGCCCCCTATACAGAACTCTTTATGTCGCTTCGAAGTAAGTTGTATACGGCACCAGGGTTGCATGCTACCAACAATACCATCCCTTTGTGTTTGTTTACCTCTCTATATTTTACCTTATTTTTAATGCTCAGAAGCATAGGTAAATCTAATATGGACACAAATGTAAGGGTCGTCTCCTCACACACCTCCGAATTATTACTGGTTAGGCTATAACATATTGATTATTTTTATTCCGGAGATACTTTAAGTTAGATAAGACAAGTAACTATTACAATAATGCTTAGTGGATTTTCAGGATCTGCCGGTATCGGATTGTTTTTTTTTAAATTTCATGTGCCGTGTTCGTTATACGACTACAAAAAAATATTTGTGGTCCTCCATGTGGGGAAAATATCTTAAAAACCAACTTTTGTACGTAGGCCATACTATTTATAGAGAAAAAAATACAGTGTTTGCTGTTGCAATTACCCGATAAATTGTTCATATTCACTGGAACCATATAGACTTACTATTATGTAACGACAACAGTAGGTCTACGTTGGTTAACCGCTAAGCGTGTGCCAACCTAAATTCCTGGCTCAACAATTGGGCAGTAAAGTAATTCAGGTGCTTCTCAACTAGCCATACTTCTTAAGATTATCAGGCTTCTAAGCCGTTCATTGTATCACAGATCCTATTTTACCAAAAGAACAATTTAACAAGCAGACAGCTAATAATTTACAAAAACAACACAACAGTTCGTATCTTCATCTTTGGCATAGACCACAGGTGGGCAAAGTGCGGCCCGATAGCGATTTTTTGCGGCCCGCAAAAAAAAAAAAAATGAAAACTCTATTTATGCGGCCCGCCAAGAAAACACCTTGTTTTTTACCGCCCGTCACCGATCA